ACTATGACGCGCTACGAATAGCGATTACGCGGCTGAAAACAACAAATATGCTGGGGCTGCACGACCTGTCCGCCGAGCTATTCAAGTACGTCGGCGAGGAGCTGACGACTCTTAGGCAGAATGGGGTCAGATCAACGGATGGCCGACGACCGGAATTTAAGTGTGCTCTGCCTAATCCACAAGATAGACGACCCCACCATACGCGCCAACTACTGCGGGATCAGCCTTTTAAGCAACTGGAACCAGGTTTTATCGAGGACATTGAGTGAAAGATTGACGCCCACCATCAGCGTACAGATTGGGCCTTGTCAGTGTGGCTTTAGACCTGGAAAATCCACCATAGATCAGATATTCACAGCACGCCAATGAAGTTGTGCCTAAATCTGGTATCCCCGCGAAACTGATACGGTTGTGTAAAATGACGTTGAGCAACACAACGTGCTCCATTAGATTTGGGAAGAACCTCTTCGAGCCGTTTGAGAGCAAACAATTCGTGTGATTTCTTTAGCACAAAGCACAAAAAACCGTTTTCATTTCACCAATCAACTTTACTGTGATCTTTATCGACTAGATACTGGAATAATACAGCCGATTAGGCTGAAGTCGAGGCAATATGTATATTAAAAAAAAACCATGTCCAGTTTGTAATTACGAGGTTCCTCGCATATAAGAGTAGGTCCGCTGAGGCCGCCTTGCATGCTATTGTGAGGTCGATATTGAAAGTCTTCCTACGTAAAGACTTCACTGTGGGTATCTTTCCCGATATCGAGGGCCTTTAAAACGTACTACCAGGGCAATAGTCAGGCCCCTGAGTAAGCTGGTAGTCAAAGCTGACCTTATCAGCCTCATACACCGGATAATCAGTGATCCAGTTTTCGCGGCGGAGTAGGGTGGTACCACCGTCCATCGTAGGGTATATAGAGGCTCAGCAGGGTTCTTTCCTCTCGTCGCTTCGCAATTTCCTATGAAGTTGATGTGGAACTTTTAGCGAGGGGGAAATTTGTGGATACCATCTGCTTCTTAACTCAAGGATACTTGACCCTGCTGATTTGATGGTTTGCGAACAGCGGAAAGTTGTCTTAAGCACTAGGAGGTATAAGGAGCCCCAGCTAACCATGCCTAACATTGCGCCTGCCGATATTGCAAGCTAATGCGGCTGCAGCAAGGGTGACAGTCAGATTTAGGGACATGAGTTGCCTGACTAACTCGTCGTCTGCATACTCTAGTATTCTCGGGAGCTTCGATTTCATGCCTGATAACACGGATCACTGCGTATCTAGCCTGCTACCAGTGATCCTTTACACGGATGAGTCGAAGCTTGATGGAAGAGTCGGTGGAGAGGTCTTCTCGAGGGAGATTTCCAGCAACCTTAAATTTAGGTTTCCATATCACCGTAGTGTTTTTCAGGCGGAGATTCCTGTTACGGGTATTCAGGAAGCAGCCGATTGGTTGGTATTGTGCGCCATCGCGTTAAAGGATGTTAACGTCTATCAATCAGCCAAGCGGTAATAAGAGCCCTGGGCTCACTTGCGGCACGCTCGAAGATTTTTGAGGAATGCCTTAATTCACTTTAGATTGCGTCGCAGTACAAATTATCTTGTCGGACTGGTCTGGGTGCCAAGCCATGACGATATCGAAGGCTGATGAACTGGCCAGAGGTGGCACCCTTGCCAAGAAGAGGACAGGAGTTCTCTTAACTATTTTTGGACTTCTTTTGAAAATATGGGCCTCAGGTCAAGTCAGGGGTCTCCTAGGGATCTCCTAAAGCTTCGAAGCTGGATCTCTTCAATTCTGGTGAGTGTACTAGCTGCGAGATTAAATATCACCCCACTCCACGATGAGGTAGAATCATCTCAAAACTTCCTCCAAGACTTGCCAGCTTTTGCTAGATTACGGCTATTTTCCTACTGAGATCATTTAAAGCTTATCAAATGCCTGCATAATTTGCTTACCTCATTCGGGTTTTCCATACTGAAATACCTTTCCGCCTTCAGTAAACTTGCCAGCGCTTCATTCAATGGCGTTTTATACTTTTTGTCGAAAAAAGCGTCCACTCTGTCAATTAAAAAGAAACAACGTAACGAGGAAGGCGCACTGTTAAGTTAACTAACAAACGCGCACTTACTCATCCATCTCCGGCGAGCCACGTCTCGACTNGCGTCCACTCTGTCAATTAAAAAGAAACAACGTAACGAGGAAGGCGCACTCCTAACACTTGCCAAGTTAACTAACAAACGCGCACTTACTCATCCATCTCCGGCGAGTCACGTCTCGACCCTCGCCTCGCCTCCGCATTGGATGCCTCATTGTTGAGCAAACAACGTTCCAATTCGATACGCATACAAAGCGCCTCCAACAGAGAAATTGGTTCGACTGGCGGCAGCGTGCAGGGCGGTGGATTGCAGCCGAACACCAGACGAAACGATAATTCATTGAAGTCCTCTTCACAGTCGATTGTACTCTGTATGGCACCGGGACAGTATTGGTCTTTGACCAAATTTTCCAGTTGCAATTTTCGCATGCGGCACTTGAATTCCGTCTCGGCTGTAACGGAAATATGTGTGCGAGATTTGCACGCATACGCTTAAGAGTTTGTAGAATAACTGACACTCCCATAATTAAAAAAAGCCCTCCCTCGTCCCTCCCACACTTACGTGACGGCTTCTCCTCCTTTGGTGGCTGTGGCTTTGATCTACAAGGCAGTGTGCGCTTTGGTAGCTGAAAAGGTGGTGGCGGCGGCGGCGGCGTTAGTGGTGCCGCTTGCGTAGGGTCTTGTGGTTTGCCGCAGTGTGGGCAGCAACAACAAGATGCATTCGAATTTCTGCTTAGGCTGATGCAAGGATCCCGCATTAGAGATGCAGCCGATGGCCGACAACTGTTGCGTGACATCGGGTACGGCGTCTAAGTTTGAATTCGAATTGAGGTGGTGGCATTAAATTGTGATTGAAGGTAGGCGTTGCATTTTTAATTTTTGCGCTTCAATTTGCGACGCAGTTTCGCAATTTCGGCAGTTCTTACTCACCTGTGCCGTCGTTGCCGCCATAGCCGTTGTAAGCATACCAGCGCCTGTTTCCAAGCAAAATGTGCGCATCTTTGGCTTGGCGCCCAAGCTGTAACGTGTTGGCGAGGACGATGTTTGCGGCTGTGAATAGGAGTGGCATTTGAGCGAACACGAATGCAAATGTGTCGAGATTTTGCGGTTTGACACGCACTCACCTTGGGCGGCACGCAATTGCTGTTATTGTAACTTTCTAGCGCTGACGCTGCCGCTGCCGCTGCCGCTGCTGCTGCTGCAGATGTGGAAGGTCCGCTGCAACTGTTTCGCAGCGACGATGCTTTTTGCTGCAACTGTGTGCGAGAGGAGGTGTGAAAATCGCGTGTAACTTTTGTGGTGTTGATTTTTTAAGGGCAGCCGCCTTTACCTGTGGCCTGCAATCGAAGCCGCGTCGTTCGCTGCTGCTGCGGAAACTCCGTCGTGTGCTTCCATTGTTGCAATAGTTCTATCACGCAAAAGCGAAATGTGAAGTTAAGCGGTTTGCAATGATTTTTTTTTTTTCATTTCGTACTTACTTCTACCATTTTACTAATGATTTAGAATTTTGAGTTTCTTATTTTTTCCCTTCTCCACCATAAAATTTTATTAAACTATGCCTTCTGAAATATTTACAACTGCATACGAAAATGTCAAACACATTTTTTTTTTTACTTTGAATTTTTATGGTTTTCAAATTTAAGAAAGTAGTGTTGAACAGATTTGAATTGGAGTAATTTATCGATAATATTTAAGGCAGGAAACATTTTTATTTAATTTTTATTTTTCTTTTTTAGAGCGGACAAGTACTGGCGAATCTAAAGCATAATACTACCATAAAAAAGCTTATTTTAAAAATTTATTAGTTTAAAAAGTCCTGTAGAACTAAAAAAATACTGAGAAGTCCCAAAAATCAGAAAAACCACGAAAAGTGTTGCATAAATTCCACAAACTTACTTAAATTTTTCACGAGAATCCCAAGAAACAGAAAGTATCGAAATATTCGGAGATCTTCGAGAAAGCTCGTGAAGATCACAAACAACTCCTTAATGAAGTATCAATGAATCTCGTCATGGTCGATCGTGACTTTCATGGTATTTTGGTCTTAATACCGTGAAAAGCCACTATAGATCACGACAATTCAAAAAGCATCAAAAAATTCCGAAAAGTCCCGAAAAATTTTACAAAATAGTCAGATGATCTCAAAGTTTCAAAAAATGCATACAAATAAGTGTAAATTAATCACGCAAGTATCAAAAAAAAACCGGAAAGCTTTAACAGATTATGACAGCTACCATAAATCGATAAACATACATACGAATAATGTCAAAAAGTCGCGAAACATTTAAAATACTTTCAGTTGTCACAATGTCAAAATCTACTTAATTGTCGGGTTGTGAATATGGCGACGAAAAACTGACAATGGAACTTTATTTTTTGTATCATGGTCCCACCAGTTCTTAAAATTTTTATATATAAATATTTTTTTAGAAAATATGTTTAACATCTCAGTTACTGGGAGCAATGTGGTTTTTGCATAATGTGGTTTTTGTATCATGCCACTACCTATTGGATATGCTTTGCTTGCCTCCTATTTTTTGAAGCGGCAGAAAGAATGGACATTTTTTGAGATTTTTATTGAGAGCTCGATACTAAACTTAAGACAATAATTAAACTCTGATTCACTTCGTGATGAACATAAATATTTGAAATTTATTGTAATTCGCGTTACATATTTAATTTAATTTTTTTACAAAAACATTATTTTTCGAACACACATACATATAGCAAAATATAACTATTTAAATGTACAAGTTTATACATACATACATACATATGTACGTACATATATAAATATTAATGAAAACAATTACTTATTGCCGTAGGCACTTTTTCTTTCAAGTTGGATTGCGCGGTTTTGTGGTCCCCATGAAGGCTTGTATGGTTATGGGTGTACCTGGCAAATCAGTACTTAACTTATCCAATGTCAAATTCATTAATGGAATTTCCTTTAAATAAATTTATTTAGTATATATTTTATAATTTTTTAATTTGGAACTTATTTATTTAAAGAATTTAAAAAAGTCTAGTCTCCTTTAGAATAAAATTTTAGTTAAAAAAAAAAACAGTTTCACATAAGCCTAGGAAATGGACACAGTGACGATTAAAACGAGCTTTTACCCTATGAGTTGGGCTAGAGATATGTAGCTTTTGCTCTGTGCCTATTTATTTAAAAGAAAAAATATTTCACACTCTATTTTAAAATATATTGAGTTCTTAAATTGCTCTAAACGCGCTTCTCTAAAGGCGACCACCATGATCTAAATGATTATATCATGACCAAAATTCCACTGCCTTGCGCGGGGGCAAAGCTCTTTTAAGCTTTCTATACATTTTGTATAGGCGCGTGCAGAGTAAAAGCTCTCTCTGCCCATCGCTGGAGTAAAGCCTCTCTGCCGTTGTCGCAGTTCTAGATCAATGATGTCCCGAGCGAGTTTTCACTCTGAGCTTTCAGCTTTTACTCTATCGGCGACCATATAAATAAATGTTTAAAAAGTTTTGCCAATTAGCTTTGTATACTTTCTATACAAATATGTAAAACCTATAGAAAAGTTACAAATGCTTTCCGATGTACGGTCGTCAAAGGTCTACGTAAATGTATATAAAAAAAAAAAATCGCCTGCTTTATGTTGTAAATCACAATCGACCCCTTGATAGGCTCGCGCGTGCAGCTTTTTAAATTTTGTTAAGTTCTCTCAAAGTTCCTGTTGATTTTAGTGCTGTGACGTTCAGATAAACTTCTCAGGCTTAGAGATGAGGTAAAAATAAGATTGGAGAATCTGTGAATAAGACAAGAAGCATATGCAGCTTCTTTTAGCTTTAAAGGTTTTCTTTTATGAATTCCTTGAGTTTTCTTTGGGTTTCAGAGAGTAAAAGCTCTCTCGTCATTGATATGTGTATGTATGTACTTTCTACATAATTTCTATGGACACT